TAATCAAAATATATATCTCATTTGATTGAGTCATTATTTTATTGCTAACAATACTGTTATTCTAATGTATGTAGTTACTTGACATATAAAAGGTTAAAACATCATCCATTTTTTTTGTAATAAGTTTTGTTTAATAGTATTTTAATTACAAACGTTTGAAATTAATAGAGCAAGCATTAATTAAAGTTGTTGATAATTGGTGTTGTTAACCTGAACTGTTAAATAGCGTCAGTTTTGCGCAATCATGGTGTCCCAGATGACTCGTAATTAAACGATTGCTGTAATATTTTTCAAGTGCAAGGTGAACTAAGAATAATTTCTAATGTTGAAGGGCCATGGTTTGAGTAGCGTTTTCCCCACAGTATTGTTGTCGACCTTACTCAAATTTGTTTAGTGAAGTCTATGGGAGTCCCTTAGTGTTATAATTTTATAAGAGTAAGTTCTTACTTCTTACTTAAATAATTTGAAAAAACTCTTGTTTTTTCAAATTATTTTCGACATCGAAAGTATTCCGACATTTTGGAATCTCACGTCCTAATATTTTTAATCAATATACGTATTAGGCAAAGTTCACACTATTCTACAGGTACAGTGGCATCAAACAACTGCAGTTTTTATGTGATACCTATTGTGTTTCGTGTGGTCAGTAACGGTAACTGAATACCAAATGACTGGTAACCAGAGTCTAATCTTAGTCCTTAGTGATAACGGTTTACATTTGTATGGTAATTAAAGGTTTTTTTGATATGTTATAGACGTTTCTGGTATTGATTGTTCAACTCTATATAATTTTTTACTATGAATGTAAAATTGATAAAGTACCTTTTTTAAACTTTATGTCGAAGTTTTAAAATGATAGCAAAATATAAAGCCAGTATTTACAATGTAGATGGAGCGGACACGGTGGCGCTACCTTCGATTTCCTTCACCTCCGCTACGTGGCGCTATTGGAAATAGCTTTTTACGGAACGTTTGAACAGACTGTCCCTATTGAATAATCGAGTGCTCTCCAAGAGGACCTTATTGAGATGTTGAACATTTTATTGGAAGTCGCTCTATCATAATATTTTCTATCTTGAAAATAGAATGTGTTTTCGTGGACTTAAGTGATGCATCGCTTTGTCACTGTGTACCGGTTTTGTAAATTTAGGTAGTGGATGAATGGCGCACACCATTTTATTTATAGTATGTCAGTTAGTAAAAAAAGTGTTTTTAATATGTTTTAAATGTCTGACATTAACCTTAACAATTACAGATACAGTAGGAGGAGGTAGGTAGGTGTGATGGATATTCGTGATGCCGTAAAATATCCTTGGAAATAGCTATCCTAATATATGCAGATTATGGGTACGTGCGAGATAAATTACGTGACACAATATTTGAAATTCACAGAAGTTTTGATACGCTCGCGTAAAACGTAAGCAAGCATGTTGCTCTTCTTAACTTTATGTATAGAATTAATCAAGCAAAGTGCGGTGCGCGCGAAGTTGTAAGGCAACAGTTACTAAAGTTTAGTAAGTAGTATACAGATCGCTAAGATGCCAGTAAATATGTAAATGCCGGCAACAAATCACGTGGCGAAATGAACAGTATCGTTGCTTGCATAAATAACTGTAATATCAAAACTGACTACCGCAGTGAATTACCGACGGCATGCAGTGTTCGATATTACAATATTCCTTTATACGCGTAAAATTTCATCTTACTTCTTACTAATATTATAAATGCAAAAGTTTAGATGGATATATGTATGTTCTGTAGAAGGTATCTCCAAAACGGCTCCAAGGATTTCGCTGTAATTTGGTGTAGATGTCATAGTCTAGATGAACACATTGCTACTTACTATTTTTTTTAATCCCGCGCTAATAGTCGCGGACGACATCCAGTACATACATACGTATTACGTTATTCTAGCGAATTAGCAAATATTTCGGGGTTTGCAACTATGACTGCTACTATAGTTAACCAATCAACATTTTTTTATAATATAAGATGGCAAACGAACGAGCGGCCACCTGAAATCGCTGAAATAGCGAAGTGACCGTTGGCCATAGACATACGCAATTGCATATACGTTGCCTACCTTTAATCGACGAAACATACGGGGAACTGCTTTATGTAGCTTATCGTATCTCATTCTGTCTCTATGTTCTATGTTTTACCAAATTCTATTTGTCTTTGCCTTTAGGTTTACTGCACAGCTTACTTATCACAGGTACAATAAACTTTATCATTCTGACTGAGGTCCGCCCACTCGCGTGTAATTTACCTTGATACCTGCAATTTACGGTACCTTGGTATAATTATCAGACGAAATTATCCTAATGCGCAATACTCTGTAGGAAATTCTAATTATGAAGTACACGAAATACTCGGCTAATCGTTTTTTCCATTGCGCTAGAAATGACTGTTACCAAATACCGAGTGATTTGTTTGTTACGAAACAACGAGTAATTAGAATGGCCATCAAATTGCTTAATTTTGCTTTTCATATTGGAGTAGTTTAATTTTTTTAACAAAGAAATATAAAATACTAGCTGTTGTCTGCGACTACGTCTGTGTGGGACTAAAAAAACTTATTTAGTAGGTTATGTTCTACATCTGTGTCAATTCATATTTCAGACAGAGCCGTTCCGATGAATGTTCACGAATTTACTTTATTATGTTTGAATATGTATTTGATTTTCTAGAATAGTAGAAAATATTTATGGCACTCAATTTGTTGTAGAATGTCTAACGTAACATATTGTTCTATATTTTATAACCGGTTTGTATAATATAGCAATACTTTCACTTCTATGTTCTTGTAGGACATAATGACATTAAGGGCTTTTGAAGTTTTCAAACAATTGTGAATCGGTAATAATCTTTTTATCATTCATAATGCATAAGGAAGATGGATTTTTACTGTTTGTTATCTTGCTTCATATTGACCCATAAAAAGAGAAAGGGTTAGGTCACTTTAAAGATCTCTGAATACTCCAACATAACTCTTTTCTTCAAATGATTTGATATGTTCAAATACAGGAAGCTTTTCATCACAGACGTGTTACTTTGGATTTCTAAGACTAAAATCTCTGTTTAAAACATATTGTTATCTTTGTTTCGTCAAAGATAATGACAAGGATGACGATATGTTTCATACAGAGATTTAGGTCTCAGAAACCAACGGTTAGTCATTACAGTGCTGTATTGCAGTGCCGGTGTGCGGTGCGGCTCCGGTCGGATATTGCGCTCTTACGCCGTCCTCGCCGATCGCTTAACCCGTTTCCGATGTGACGCAAATGGGATGTTTGGAACATTCGCACAATATTCGGTCGCGAAAATAGATATTGAATTACTCCTATAAATTATTTAAATAGTGAAGGTGTGAACTAGTTAGTTGGTTACTATTATTTACATATATGCTTACTACAACTCCCAAGGACTTTCGTGAAATAAAATATTACCATTTTGTTCCTGACACATTTGTTTAAAAAAATAACATACACGACCTTCAATGTCTTTTTCTACAGTTCACTATTTCATAAAATTCTATCTTAATTAATAATTATTTAAAAAAATACTTTAAACCAGCACAATTCAAAAGTAATTGCGGGAATTGTTTCCAAACATTGCGGCGCGGTGGCGTTGTTCGAAATCGCTACTAACCGGATCGCGTTTTGTTTAATGTCGTTTGTCATACACGCATTGGCGTTAGTTTCTCTCATTTGTTTGCGTTTATTGTTCGACGTGGAATTTATTGTGAATTATGGCATGTTTTAAATCAAACCTTTGTTCTCTCCGCGTATTGTTTGCTTTATTTTTTTTCCTGCGAACAATAAGAGGAAGATTATCGCACGTAGAGCTATTTCAAAAATAAATTATCAGCTCGCTTATTGATAATAAAATTGCGGGTTCCTTATCGGAATTTTAATGCGTGTATAATGTATTCTATTTGTTCAGTTGAACCGATTTACGATTGAATGCTATTCAGTAGAACCTTATTCTCATTCAGTATTCATATGGGAATATGTCTTGGTGCGTCAATTTTAGTAATGCTCAGGCATCGCCGGTAGTCGGTTGGATGCCTTCGTGTTTACTTTAGTCTATTGTGTAAAAACAAACGGTATTTCACAACAATCGTATTATTGATTCGGTGTTTTTCGTGATAATGCAAAGTATGTCTAAATAAATATTTTTATAACAAGCCATGACGTTCAAAGTCGAACTATTTATTATTAATACTTGGATCACCTGTATCTTATTAAATTGATTCCACTCGCGCTTTCCAATTGTTGGACAGGCCCTATAAAAGAATCTAACGGTCCGTTAACCAAATAACTCACGTAGGTCGCGTTGTCACGTGGTGTATTGGTAAGACGATAGGTAGTTCTGGTGTAGAAAAGTGGAATGCATGCGGCATGTGGAGGTCGATATTCAGCTCACGGTCGCTCGGCCGCTGACTCCTCGGGACAGTTCAGCCCGCTACCATCGCGCGGCGCATATAGAATACTAATGCAAATTATTGTATATACCTACATTCAGACAAATGCCACGGCACGACAGCACATGGTATTGTAACATTTTTTGTCAACTCCAGAAATCGCTTCGGTGTATTCATATTTTATATAGGATCGTAAATTGCCTGGTTAGGTTAGGTTAGATAAAATAAATTGTACCTTGTTCAATTAAGTTGTTAGAAGTTGTGGTTATTTTTGCGTTTTGTTTATGTGATTAGTAATAAATCGTGCGTTGATGTTAGGTACGCGCCTTCGTACCGCTTGAATATCTGCGTTGTCTTTGCGCAGAGGTTTCGCCGCGCCTCGTCCGCGCCAGCTGCTGCACGCTCCAGTGCGGCCGCCGCTCGCCGCCCGCGCACCGCTCACGCCCCTCCTCTGGCCCCACCGCCCGCGCTGGCACCCGCGCGCCCTTGCGAAAAATCATAATGCAATTGCCAGGACGGGCGGTGTGGAACGGCTCGCCGCGTGGAACCGACCAGCACGCAACCAGTCTACACTCAAGTGCGTTCAAACTCACACGCCGTCCATCATGATGGATTAGACGTCGGGAGTGATTTCTCTTGCGGCGCTCGGCGCTCGGTCGACTGGAACCGAGCCGCGCACGGTTACCGCCGGATACCGATATCCAGTGTCGTTAACTCGCGAAGCGCGCCTGCAGAACTATCGGCTCACAGCTCCCGTTCTATCATATTTCACGAGACGTACTCTATGTTCCGCTATTGTCGCCATTTGCGGTTTTATAAACGGGTTCACCTTTTTTACGAATTCGCTGACTGAAATATTATTCACAAGTGAACCGGCATATCTAAATAACGTCAAGTTCATTAGCGCCCTTATACGTCGTAACAATCGTCCGTCAAACATAAATTATTCCTCGCGCGTCTCATATGCATCCGGCGATGTTCGCTTTCCAAGTGTTTGTTACGAAGCGATTGTTTCCTCGCAAGCAGTCGGTCGAATCGCCCGCCGCAGATTGGTAGCTCGGGCCGCGCGTTATCATTATTTCAAGTAATAAAAGTCGATGATCGAGCTAATTATCACTATTAGGTTGATAAGGTTGTTTGTGAAACTCACGGAATGTCGAATTGCGTTAGTAGTGCGATAGTCGTCGGTGCGATGGTCGATCGGAGGTGATGCTCCGTGCGAACGAGTGTAAAAGTGCTTTATTAGTATGTGGGGTGCTGCAGTGTCCAATCCTCCGCATTACCATTATGTGCAAGGACCAAATGGTGCGGGACCACAACGTGGACCGGCCGGGCCTGTATTGTCGGGGCCCGGCGTGAAACATTTGCGGCCCCAGTCCTCGTACTCGCTGCCACACGGCGCCAATGGGCCCACACGCTGGAGTTGGTCGGGAAGCAATGCTTCCTCTTTCGATCGGAGGCAAGCGAAGGTGCCGCCGCAGCCGGCGCGCCCCGCTCCCTCGCGCCCCTCACACGTTAGAAATAATTCTACATATGTAAGTAAAAGAAAACAAATGACAAACTGTTTTGTTAACAACATCACTGATTTTTTTTAAAATCCAGATTCATTACTAGAGGTGCCTAGCAATTTTAATTCATCATTTATGACTTTATCGTTTTGTTTATTATTAATATAAGTAAGATTATTACACTGTAAAATATTTACAGCTTTGTACAATTTCTAGTTTACGCAATGCGCACTTTGGATGTAATGATATTTTGTGTGGTGTCGCAAGGTGCGTAAATGGCAAAGTTTGACACGAACTTTTTCGTATGTTGCAATGAACTTTGTGCGCACGCGCCGCTTAATACAACAGTGCGGATCTTACTTATAACCTTATTCTTAAGACTTTTTTTTTACTTTAAATCAATACTTACGATATGATATAATCAAGTGTAAAATGTATATATGTATGTATGAGCACAATTTGTTCATTGTTTTGAGAGTTGTAATTTATGCAAAATAATTAACATTCTCGTTAATACAAAAATGTTGTTTTACCGCAGGGGCTATAGTTTATCATAATAGGTGTAAATGGAATGTAACGGTGTGTGGCAATGACATCGTTTTATATTATAATTGCCATTAACAATATTCTGCAATAAATAATGCAATCAAAATTAAACGTGTGTTACACCTTGGTATTGTTATTTGTGCTTCATTTACTATTTCATATTTACGACTGCTTTACACACCTTTATATTTACCATTACCTAACTAAATAAAAAAACCTAATTGAATAAAATTGATCTTAAATAAGATAAAACTTACGCTATTTAAATATTTATCCTGATAAATGGAGATACGAGTAAATGATTAAAAATATTTCAATACAGCACTCTAGGAATGTCCCATGTTTACTTATTTACGTAATGCGAATGTTTAGTGGAAATATACGGATAGCCGAGCGCATTCCGATAGTCTTTATAAGCGAGGTAGTTTTCTTTATAGGGCAGAATGTAATGAATAGTAAATGTATCTGAGGTCGATGCGTCCGCGGTGCGACTGCGACACGATACCGCGACCTAAAAACTTATAACCGCGGATACCGATTCTTGTTTTACTCTCTTCGTAATTTCCTGTTATTTGTTTGATTTGCATTTCTATAGAGTAATAAGTACTAGTATAGTCTATATAAATTCAGCTTATTAAAATGGAATTTTGCCAATGATTTTTTTTGTGAATTTGTCTCTAAGAGACATCTAATAAGATTTTAGTCTTTATACTGGTTATCATTGGAATTAGAATCAAATTTTTTTAATTAACATAATTATATTTCTCATTTCGTAAAAAGGAACAGAGAGAAGTAATAAATAAAATAAAGGATATTCGGATGTTTTTTTTTCACTGGCAAAGCTCGTTGTTTGAAGCGATGTTACGCTTTTTAATTTTTCACAAAAATATTGTAGGTGTAGTTTTTATAATAGTCCGGTAAATTCTGTGTATACGATTTGTGTGTAATCAAAAATGTACCTTTGATTATCAGTTAAATGACGTCACTGGTTTGATAAGGATTAATCATATAATTAATGTATTTCCTTTTTGATAATGCATTCCTTATTATTTGATGATTTCTATTATTTAATGATATGCTAATTTTACGTCAAATGTACAGATAAATAATATTTATTATTAAAAAATATTTCGCAAATTTCTTCAACATAATTAATTTCTTTAACATAATTAACGGTTCATTTACAATGATTAGTACCCAGACGTGCCAAACTTGTGAAAACAATTTAAACGTAAGTTAAATTTATTGTCTTTCTTCAACAATATTATCACGTAACTTTTTAATCTGATAAATTAACTTTTCGAATAAATTTGAACAAACTCAAATATTTCTTATGATGTTAATATAAAAGTTTAGATTGAGTCGTTTAAATGGACTTAATGTTTAAGGGATTTATTTAATGCTTTTTATTTACGACCAAGTTTCTTAAATGTTTAATTTATTTCTTTTTTGTTTGTAAAATTTCAAAGTTTTAATCTGAAATATACGTAGCTCTCTTTATTTCCAATATTGAAAAAAAAAACAACTAAACTAATTAAACTGGTTTTGCCCTATCACTGGATATAACTTTTATGTTCCTTCTTTGCCTTGTATGGTAACGTTATGATTAAAAGTTTTAAGTGAACGGTGGTGCAATAAAACGCAATGGCCTCTATCCCTCGCACTGAAATTTTAAGCGATTTTTATTTTTAAGCGCCCTGTCCGTAAAATTGGCCGGACCAACCGATTAAACGTTTTGTTTACGACATTACCGTTTTAATCATTCCTAGCCACTGATTTTTTATTAGGTCGGTACCGCGTCTTAAATGTTTTACACCTTATTTTCTTCATTCATTCTTTCTACACGTTCATTTTACCGTTCTCCGCTATTGTCTTACTTGATTACTATTAGTCACAACATCCTCTGTCGAGCGACGCTTTTCTCTGCCCGTAATAATAAAATTTACCATTCAAGGCGTGTTCTTTTAGACATTATTAATTAGAATTCTTTAGCGCGAATGGCCCTTTTGTTACGAAGTCAAGTGTCAGATTGATTAGTGAGGGGACATAAACGTTAACATTTTAATAAGATTAGTGTTGCGCCGATATACCGGTACAGTGTCGGATTTTCTTCCTAACTGTACCTATTTTGTACCCTTTATTTATTATCTGTATAAATAATAACTACTTAATTATAATCTAACGTAACGATAGCATTTACCATTCTTTTAAAACTTCTGAAAATATAGTTTTAAAGATCTATTCTCAGTCAGTTTGTATGAAAAAATGTGAGAGTGATTAGTATACCACAAAAACAACCCGCGTCATATTTCAAGTGACATTGTCGGTAAAAGTCAAGGCTCCATATGTATGAGATGAGTCCGAACGTTTTGCGACGTGACGAGTATACATAAAGCTATTCATTTATTGTGAAAACGTCAGCGTTGTTGCGGCGCTTGAGGCGTGAAACATCAGGCTCTGTGTCATTCAAATTTACCAAATTTTGTTGAGGAATTGTTTAAAGGTTCGTCATCGGCTGTATGGAAATTATCACCTCCGACAGTCTGTGATAGGAGTGAATTTATGTAAAACTAGATAAACCGGTTACAAGGTACGATTTGACAACGATTTATGTCGATTTCGATTTGCGATTTGAACAAAGTATTACGACTTCTATTGGCATTCCTTCGTCTTTGATATTGGTTATCAACCCTCTACTTTACTACTGAAATTACTCAAATTTTTGGCGTTTTCTTTATCGGGCCAAGTAATTATACAACTAAAAGTAGTATCCATAAACTAAGTTATCCGTTTTAATAAGTTACCTCGAGACAAGTTTTTTTTAATTTTTCTGTCACTTATTTACCGCAACTTGTTCTATGTTATAAAGTATTAGAAGCAAAATGTTACTCAAATGTATTTTCGACTTATTTCTATTTAAATAGCGTTTTGTATTACAAAAATACTTAAAATAAGCACTTCCTAACGTTATCAGGTTTCTTTGACACAGACAAAGCTGATAAAATGTTTGTACAAATTTTGGAACATGATAATATTTAGTAAATATTCAGATGCTTCACTTATCTAGTTTATATATAAAATTCTATTTTCAAACTAGCTTTTGCCGGCGATTTCGTTTGTGCGTAATTAAAAATGTTTAAAAGTATCGCATGAGTTACTCGAGACCATGTTTTTATATATGTGCCTTTCAACAAAATGAGTTGAACCGTTGCGGATTTATCGAGTAATCAAAGGTTTTTATAGGAACCGTACATATTTCCTGGAACATAAGTAGCTTACATGTTCTTAACCAAATTTCATAGAATTTTGTTTCGCCGTTCTGGAGATACGTAATAACAAACATCCATCCATGTAAAATTTGCCATTTATAATTTTAGTAAGATATAAATTTTATCTATTCTAAGTATGTAGGATATTATCGTAAATATTTTCCAGCTGTGCTCTAATATCCTATTTTATCGAATTCCTATGTGATTAGGGGTTTAACTATCATAAAGTTATACTTTTGTTATTCACCTTACTAAAGCTTAAAGGTATTAAAATTATCTTATATTTAAAAAGGTACTGATTTAATCAGAATTATATATTATTCGAGTCTTCAATAACAAAAATCAGCAATCTGTAACGTATTTTTAATAGTAATATAGAGATAAAACCGCCCTTTAACTATGATTGCATTCGAATTGATTGTTTATGGACTTTTGCTGAAAAAGTTGACGCGACTACTGAAATTCTTAGAGGGTTAAAAAAATCAGGTCATGAAAACACTATGCAAAATATTACAACAAAAATAGCATTGATATTGGCTTATTAAAATTTATTCCAGTTAATTTTACATAATATAGTAATAATTAATATATGATTTTTTTGTTGACAGAAGGTCGACCCTGAGCTGATCTTCACGAAACAAGAGAAGATCGGCAAGGGTTCCTTCGGCGAGGTGTTCAAAGGCGTCGACAATAGGACACAACAAGTTGTCGCTATCAAGATCATCGACCTCGAAGAAGCTGAAGATGAAATCGAGGATATACAGCAGGAGATCATGGTGCTGTCACAATGTGACAGTCCATACGTCACAAAATATTATGGATCATACTTAAAGGTAAGTCATTATATTAAAGTATTAGGATGAAAATCCGACACTGTGCCAGTGTACTAGCACAACACTAGCCTTACTAAAATGACGACGTTTATGTCCCCTCACTACTCAGTAATCATTTTGACATTTGACTTGGTAATGAAAGCGCGCCATTCGCGCCAAAGTTTTCTAATTAATAATGTCTAAAAAAAGTATAGCCATTTGTCGCATATTAAAAAGTATACGCTACTTAGGGTTAAGAATTCAAAAATATAAGCTTATGCTGTGTACATTCGTTGCCGAAATATAAATAAATCATCATCCTAGATGGTATAACATTGCTAAATTGGATTGATAGAAATGTAAACAAGGAAGCCATGATCTTGTCTTTGTCCTTCCTATCAAAAATACATCATTCAACCACTGACAGGTTACATCTGCACTGGTAGTTAAATTGCGGGCACATTATGAAGTATTTTCCTATCGGGGAAGGCCCGCCTATGTAACGGCCATCAATCATTGTCTGAAGCCGGCACTGCGGCTGTCTATCGCCGAACCATTTTGGAGATGAGTACCGTATATAACGTTCATTCACGTCCAGTAACATTACCACTCAAGAACAATCAGTACTGAAATGTTACGAAATAATTAGACGTTATTTAACGTTGTTATTATTGATTTTAAACATCTCAATATGTAACGACTTCTAAGAAAAATACAGTACTGTTTTCACTGTTTTTACCCCACCTTAAATTATTCGACATTATTTCATATCCTCCGCAACGTGACGTACGGAATTCCATCGCCATTTCGCAGTGTTATTGCCCGCAACCGAGTTGGAATATCGGAAAGTGTCAACACAATAAAACGTTAGACTGTTATTGCCGACAATTTGCTGAAATTGGCGTTGTCTCTTTTGTAATTGCACAAAGATAATGTTTGGGCAATTTGAATAGTAGATTAAATTTTTATTGGCACATTTATAACCACTAAAATAGTTCACGTATTGAACAGATATGAAACGGTTATTAATAATAGAAGATAACGAAACGGCTGTTATCGAGATTTATTGCATCGATTGCTATAATAATTTAAGTTCTATTTTGGTTGTCTAAAGTAGGCACGTCCAATGTATCATGTGTTGCGTTTTCGTGCACCACCAGGGCGCACTAACAACTTTGCCGTCACGAAGAAGTAAGGTCAAAACAAGGCATAGCGACCGGTTTATTATATTCAGAAGCGTATGAACTCTCACGAAATCTGGGACACGGTTTCACAAACGTATCCGTTGTGGCTGATTCACGCTAGGATAAAGTCTCTACAGCTTTGGAAGGACATTCTATTAATCACCAGCTCAATGCCACACTTAGCTAACGCTAATGTGGGCGTCGCCTTAAATGGTCCCGAGAACAATAGCTTATTGATTGTTGTGTAAATTATATTAGGCGCAGCTTATTGTTAATTATCTTATTGAAATATGTGTTTATAAATAAGCTTCTTTATGACTCGTATATATATTAGAGATTTTTTTTAATAAAATATCAGCAGATTTTTATGTAAATTTACTAATATTTCTTTTACCATTCCAAATAAGCTCGAAGCTTGTACTAGGATATGGTTTATGACAATAGTCGAATGGCGGGATTCGAACCCCCGAACTCGTGATCGGAAATCCGTACCCTTAACCATTATTGATGCCTTGATTGTCTTTCATCACTTAGAATTACGAGAGATTTTAAAATGAGACATATAGACGTGCAGAGGTATGTGTCTATTAAAATGTTCCAATACAAATTTGATGGTTAATTTTATATTTATCGTTTATGGATAATGCACAAAGCTGATATCCCGGATCGTTCGCGTTCGCATAGTTGACGATCGACATCCATTTTCATATCATTATAAAGTTTAAAAAAATTAAATGACGTGTCACCACGGCGTCTTCCCTCCAAAATGAAGAGCGGGTGGTGGAATCGTGTTCCATATTGAACAATAACGTCACCGCTCTCCGCCGCTGCCGACTCTCAATCGATATCTGCATTTTTATTGTTCCCTCAGTCTCGGTTTATTATTAATGGTTGCCTTTTATTTGCGCAATAAACGGAGAAAGTACTATCAAAAAATCTTTTATGTTCATTCGTTGGCGGTTTAATTAAATTAAACGATTTGATTTCAAATTAATGTTTTTTTTATTGAAGTAAAAGGTTTATTAGAATTTCAATAAATGTTATTAAAAATTATAAGTGCCAGAGAAAAGTATGTTGCTCAAAACATAAGCTTTTCTTTCTGTTACTAAAGGGGACAAGTTATAGAAGAGATAAAGCGAGAATTTTTTACGTTAATTTTTTTTACTATAAATAATTAACGCACTACGAATAAATAATTGGCGGATGTAAGTATTTTTATATAATTTACGTATGCAATACGTTCACTTTTCGTTATTTTTGATGTGTTTGCATTATAAGGAAGCGTCTTACGGTGCAATAGGTTTTGACGTGTTGCATTTGTCTGTCGGCGAGCCGCGTCGGCGCTGCGGTATCGCAATCTTGACACACTTTCGAATGTTGTTGTTATGCGTACCTTGCAAAACACGATGCAATGCAAACCAACGGCATCTTACAGACAACCCCTTCAAAATGGTACTGAGCAATGCATTATTATATTTGTCTGTATCTCAAATTATAAATGTGAATGTTTGGATGATTGGATGGATGGATGTTTGTTAGAAGATCTCCTGAACGGATGCATGAATCTCGCTGATACCTGACATAGATGTGGAACATAGTCTGGAAGAATACATGAGAACTAAATAAGTTTTTTGTTTAATTTCTCGCGGATGATTTTAATGAAAAAAAAAAACAGTGGGAAATCTATCCACAGTACGCCAATGATATATGGACAGAAATTTATTAGAGTACTGCGAAACAAAAGATGTGATTACTGTTTTGTTTTACACTTTTAAATATTAACCACATGTGCACTCAGTCTACTACGGTTGCACTTACTACAATTAGTCACCGGCCACATTCACACGGTCGTAGGTGACCGAGTTGCTGAGTCGTCGGAGCTAATCGCGCTTCATTTGCATATACACCAAACAACGTGGCGTGAAAGGTGTTGACGTTTATTACTTGTGAATAATATACTCTTGTTTTTGGCCACTACAGTATGTATTTACTTGTAAGCATGAGCTTAGAAAGAATAAAGGCGTAGAAAGAAAAAAGAATGTTGTGCAGGATATACAATATTTTTTTTTTTACTATTTCATAGAAGTAAATTATAGATCTGTATAGTTAGGGTTCTTTGTCTTATTTTACGTAAATGCGGTCTTCATTGAAGGAGCGCAGGTCGTCATTGACGTCAGCGCTATGAATGGATTCAAATGTGACGCGAATAAACTGCTACCTGCTTTACTTGTGGTGTTACCACGCTTGTGACGAAATGGGGACGTACTTTTTTTATTTAATTCACATAAACAACGCTTATTAGTCTGATTTATAGTGTAACAGATTACGTTTTAAACATATTTCCTATTTATTGTTTTTGGATAACGTTGATATATTATATCTAAGTAAACATACTTGTATAACATAACATATAGGAATTACACGATTAATAAATAACGCATAACTTTAAAAATATTTAACCTGATGAATTTATTTAGATTAATTATGTCCTTAATAAAACAGAATGTTTGGATATCCTCGGTGAATTTTAGCAGGTAAAAATATCAAAGGCGGATGTCGGGACGGCCATGAGAGGTGAAGGACGCCGATGACTCACTGTTTTGTTTCGAGGGGGAAATGCCAAAAAGACATCGAATAAAGCTCGAATTAGTATAAAAATGTTTAATACTGCCCAACCTATTGAAAGCATAATGTTAGCAAATCTATTGGTTTCAAGAAATTTTATTTATCGTGGAAGAGAAATAACATTTAACGTTAGAATGTTTACCTGTCTCGTTTTCTTTGTTCTTTATATTTTGGGTTTTTCCATTGATCAAAAGACCTGAAATGATTTGTTACATCCTAAAATCTATTTAATGGAACACAAAAACATTTGATATCTTTTGACATCAAAGCGAAATCACTCTTTACCCGTATACTTTGGGGTTTTATTTTTAGTAGGATAGAAGTAACAGCCACTGGGCTCGTACGATGACTATAAAGTTCGCTAGGTTGATAGCTATAAACACATTATAGCTACCTTGACCCCGACAGCCCGTGGTGTCAAGGCTCGGTCTGTCCTAGTGGGGTTTTCACGAGTCCATTACACAAAAGGTGGCCCTTGAAGCGTCGTCGCCAAATAGCCAATTGTCTCGCAACGGGGGCCGGCTAAATTAGCTTTTGCTGTCTCCACAATATTAAGGGCAATGAAGCCATTCAGTTTTATTTTGTTACTCGGAGCATTGACATTCCATTTGCTATGTGAAAGTCAAAGTAGATTATTTATATATATTTTAGTACAAACTTTATGAATTAAAGCTATGTTACTACTATTTAGTTGCGTACTTTTAGGGTTCCGTACCTAAAAGGAAAAAAACGGAACCCTTATAGGATCACTTTTTTGTCCGTCCGTCTGTCAAGACTAAGTTCTTTCCGTTATCATATTTGATTGTTCCTAACACGCAATGCGAATTTTTTTCCACGATTGTTGTTCCGTTAACCTCGGGCTAGTGAAGGCGACGCTTGAATCCTCTTTCTTAGCAGTAATACTTTAGTAGTAATAACTAAAATATTAATGGATTGATCACAAAATCAGTAAAGTTTTGAATTAGACTTGGCTCAAATCACTGTTATTAAGAATTTACATTTTAAAACGTATTGTGTTATTAGTTGTAATCTATTGTAATTAAAAGACTGGGCAAAACCATTTCTATTTGAAGGAAAATTGATTACTTGTGTTTAAACTCAGACGTTTGTTAAACATCTGCATAAATGAATATTAGTTGTTATTGTTTAAATTTAACAAAGTTCTGTATAAGTTTAGGTCTGGCGTTGAATTCTATTTTGGCGCTGAGTACT